CGGGGGGCAGGATGGGGCCCGAGCTGGGGCTCCCATCGCCCTCATCCTCCTCTGCGTCCTCTTCCTCATCTCTACCTGGCAAGCGGGGCGCAGAGGGCGCGCCTGGCGTGCTGGGGCTCGCACTCTGAGTCCGCAGGCGGCGGAGCCAGGGAGGCCGCGGGCAGGGCATCTGGACCCAACGTACAGGGAGAGGTGGTCAGGCGGGGAAGGGCAGCAGCGTGCAGGATGCCAGAGGGAGGACTTCTAGAAAAGGGGCTGCTCTGAGGGGGTTACCCAGAACAGGGGGGATTGTCAGGTTAACAGGAGCCAAGGCGTCAGGGATGGGTCCTCGGAAGGTCCAGGCAGAGACTGAAGCCACTTGTAGATTGTGTGGACTCCAGGAAGGAATAGGTGCAGGAGACCAAGGTTAAGTGGGAGTCCCAGACCTGGGAAGCAAACCTGGCTGTGGCACCCAAGATGTCACGGAGGACCCACCAGGGCCAACTCCGGAGATAAGGATGTGTCCAGATCAGTGAAGTATCCTGAGCCACAGGACACGGGTGAAGGGACAGCAGCAACCCTCCCTACCTTGTGATGCCTTCTCCTCTGCCTGCTGGGGTGTCCCTCCTGTACTGCCCAGTCTCTGGTCTGCCTGCTGTTGGGTATGAGTGCCCCTCCCTAGGGGAGGGTGTCTGACCTGGGGCCACCCCCCACGGGTCCCACGCACCTGCTGAACTTGTCTGGCTGGCTCCCCCACACCCAAGACCAGGCTTGCCAGGAACAGCAAGCCTGACTTGGGCTGATGGATGAGGATACTGGGCAGGCAGGGATGTGACCACCCTTTTTCAAAATCTACCTTGGTGCCCCTGTAACCCTAGCAACTGGAGTTTGTAAGACAAGGATCCCAAGTCCGGGGTTGGCCTGAGAGACGTATCTTCCCGTTCAAGGACACAGGTTCAATCCACTGTGAAACCAAACATTCCACTATGGAGCCACCAGATGAGCTGCCTGGGCAGGCTCCTGCTTCTCCTAGCACCCTGTGAGTACAGGGCCTGACCTATAGGCCACAACCCAAATAGTGAAGCCAGCATACCCATCTAAGAGGTGGACAGCTGGACTGACCAGCCTGCACACAGGGCTGGGATGACTGTGGGCCAGACAACAGACCTTCTTTACCTCTACCTGGGCGTGCTTTTGGGGAGCCTGACCTCAGGATGATCCACAGGTACCCAGGTCTCACATCATGGACATCCTCTCCCTCATTCCCAATACCTGTTGGAACACTCTAGGGCATCTGGCCGGTGCCCTGTGACTCAAGTTTCCACAGGCTGACAAGTCATGCCAGCGCCATGAGCATCCTCATCACACAAGGCCACCCCCCCCCAAACACAGGCAACAGATGGGTACAGCTGTCCCCAAGGGAAGACAGTTTATTGGTCAGCAGCCAGGAAATCAGCGGTTGGACTTGGCCACACGCTCCAGCTCGTCTTTCTTTTTGATGGCATAGGAGTTAGAAGAGCCCTGTGAGGAGACATCAAATTAGCTCTAGATGTTGGGAGTGCCCCGACCCCTGCCCTGAGACCCACATTCCAACCCACCTTGGCAGCATTAATGAGCTCATCTGCCAGGCACTCAGCAATCGTCTTGATGTTCCGGAAGGCCGCCTCACGGGCCCCTGTGCACAGCAGCCAGATGGCCTAGAGCATAGGGGTCAAATTAGGCCTGTAGCCCTCCAGTAACTGGGCCCATTCAGACAAGATACAGGGAGAGGTGACGTCGGCTGGAAAAAACAAGTGTCCACAGACGTACACAGCCAATGATAGGACTTTAGACCTGCCATAACAATGTGATGCATGCTCTTGACCTGGACCTTTGATTGACAAGGTAAAGGGCACATTGGGACAGATGAATAAATGACAGATATTGTATTGCTATTAAATTCCTCAGGAATGGAATGAAGGGAACAGATAAGCCTTGCTCATAAGACACCTGCTCAAATGCTTAGGGAAAACTGTTAGAATTACTACAACTGCCTCTTACCAGGTCTAAGAGGAGGAAACAAAAAGAAAAGAAACCACCCCACACAGTGCATCTGTAGCATACACTACAATTATGGTACACTTTACACACTGTACATCAGAAATAAGATGAAACCAGACTTTGAAGGGCTCGGGGAGCCAGGATGTGCTCTGAACAGGGTGTGATTCCAGGAAGCTTTCCTGGAGGAAGTGAGGCTCCAGGTAAAACATGCAAACAGGGACAACCTTTCTGCCCCAGGTAGGACTCCACCCACTCCTGGCAGCTCTTCCCATTCCACCTGCACAAGGCCAAGGGCCCGGGCCCAACCCCACCTGATTCACACGGCGCAGTGGGGACACGTCCACAGCCTGCCTTCTCACTGTGCCAGCTCGCCCAATGCGTGTTGAATCCTCCCGGGGGCCACTGTTGATGATGGCATTCACCAGGACCTGCAGAGGGTTCTAGTAGACCAGGGGGGCTATGAGCTCAATGTCAAGTCCCAAGTGCTCCCCCTCCCCGACTCAATCCTAAAACAGGGTGACAGCCACATAGGTGATAAGCGTGGCATGCATACCAGGGCGCTTCAGCATGTGGTACAGGCACAGCCTGCCATGCTTGTCACAGAGTCCTACCTCACCAGTGAGCAGGTGGATGATCTCAAAGGCATGCTTGACAATGCGCACAGTCATGAGCTTCTTGCCGTTGTTGCGGCCATGCATCATCATGGAGTTAGTGAGGCGCTCCACGATGGGGCACTGTGCTTTGCGGAAGCGCTTGGCAGCATAACGTCCTGCACTGTGGGGCAGGTACTTGGCATACTTCTCCTTCACCGCAATGTAATCCTGAGGCAGCAGGGGATGAGGAACAGTCAGGAGCAGGATGGACACAGCTCAGGACCAGAGGATACCCAGTACCCAACACTGCAATCCCAGTCTGCCCCCGCCCCAGGGGATATGGATTTGAATCCAGCTTGTCCTGAAAGAGGGAAAACTACACAAGTGGATTTCCTTCCATGTAACACTTCAAGAGCACTCCATTCACAATAGAGTGAAGTCCATTGTTTGTTTTCTTTTGCAACAGTGCTCCTTAAACACGGATGCTGTAGGGCGGACGATTCTCTGCTGAAACTACCACAGGATGTTCAGCAGTACCCAGTACACTAGCAGCAACCCACTCAAAAGTTTTTGTTTGTTTTGGCAGTGCTGGGATTGAACCCAGGGCATACTAGGCAGGTGCTCTAGTATCCCTCTTTATTTAGACAGGGCCTCTCCAGTTACTGAGACTGGCCTTAAACTTGCAATCCTCCTGCCTCAGCCTCCCGAGTTATTGGAATTGCAGGCATGCACCACTGTAATTTTGATAACCAAAAATGTATCTAGATGTTGCTGAGTGTCATCAGAGTCAGAAACACTGTTAAAGGCCAAAATGGTAGCCTTGGATACATAAGGATGGCAGAAGGAAATTAGAGGAGTATGCAAAGTGGACTGCAGTTGATACTTCCATTACAAAATGTGCCCAAGGCCACTCTTATTATTATTTCTACGTGAGAACATAAATGCGAGCCTTCTACTGCTGAGCCACAATCCCAACCCCATCCCCAGTTTTTACATTTTTTAATACCTTTATTTTTATATGTGTTACTGAGGATAGAAGCCAGTGCCTCACAGGTGCTAGGCAAGTGCTCTACCACTGAGCTACAACCTCAACCCTGTAGTTTTTACCTTTCTAAAGCATTGTACAAAAACAAAAACGTAACTGAAATCCAATGTGACTGTGAGGCATAAACATACCATCTGGTTCCTAATGAAGAAGTTTGGGCCTGTGGGGTGCTATGATACAGCACTCGCCCATCATGCAAGAAGCCCTAGATTCCATCCCTTGCACCACAATATACAAAGCTGCCTAAGCAAACCCATGGAGGGGTGAATTGAAGCTCTCCCAGACATCCAGAATGAAAATAATCCTGTATCCTTTAGGCACAGTACATAAGTGCTATGGCATCTTTAGAGGGAACAAAAATGCTTTAATTTCTTTTCAAACAAAAAGGGAAAAAAGTAAACACAACTCACATTTATCTTTATACAAACACATTCACAAAATATCATCATTATTATTACTACTGTTTTATGGTGCTAGAGATTGAACCCAGTGGCACTTAACCACTGAATTACATTCTCGGCTCTTTTTTTATTTCTTTTCTCCTTTGAGACAGGGTCTAACTAAGTTGCTTAGGGCCTCAGTTGCTGAGTCTGGCTTGAACTTGTAATCCTCCTGCCACAACCTCCCAAGGTGCTAGGAACTACAGGCTTGCAAAATATAACCTTTAATATTAATTTTTTTTATAACATAGGAAGAGCCCTCAAAAATACAAGTTCCTAAGGTCCATGAAACTCCTGAAACAGGAAGCTATTTGAGGGCTGGGGGCATGCTCAGCAAAGTGCACACCTCTGCATCAAGGGGCAGGAGTGGCAGAAACTCTGTAAAACAGTATGAGCATAAGACAGAAGTACAAGCACTTA